TAGCCAATGGAGTGTTTGTATATGTTGGTGATCATCCAGCTAGTATTAATAGTCTGTCCTTTCTGCCTACTGATCTGTATATTCTTGTTTGTATTTTTCAAACATTAAAAAATATTTACAGATATATTAGTATGTCCCCCAAAGAACCTTGCAAGTGTTATCCTTATTTGACAGATTAAGAAATTAAAGTACAGACAGATTAGGTGATATGGTCAGTGATAAATTTAGAAGAACACCCAGATATCTTAAATCTAAAACATTTTAGCCCTGTTCTTTGTCCATCAGTGAATAAATGGGTAGCTAGCTAAATTATTAAGTCACTTCCTTGCAAATGGCTAAGACTAATGGGGCTCTAGAAGTAATTTTGTATATAGCTATCCTTTAAAAAATAAGTTTGAAAGACACCCACAGTTGTTGGAAGGAGGAAAGAGATGCCATCACGTGGTATTCATTTGCAGGGATCAGATTTTCCTGAGTCAGATGGGGGTTAAGAGATCTGCCAAATTCTTGGGAACTAGTTCAAAATATTACAGAAGTGTAATGGAAAATCACATGATTGATTGAGCTCAAGAGTATTTGCCTTATGCTTCAATAGATTTCCTTCCCGCTGTTCTTCCTCCCAATTTTATGATTTCCCTTTAAATACTTATCTCTGAGTAGGAATGATATGAAACTCTTATCTTGACTGGGCTAAACAAAGTAAATAAATTTATGAGGTATATGTTTGTTGTTTGTATATTTGTGGTGTTGTAGATAAGCTATACTGTGCTCATTTTTGTTCTTGAATGTAACAGTTATTTAATATTAACTGTTCACCAAGAATATAGTGACCAGTAAACTAGAACTAGAACTTAAGAGCAATACCAAGGAAAATAGAGGGGCTCTGCCCTCAAGTGGCCTATGGATATTGCCTTTCATTTTAGGAAAACACTTTGTCTTGTTTCCTACTACATCCCTCCTGCTCTCATATGTAGAATAGGGCCTGATGCATAAGAAGCATTCAGTAGATATCCATTGAATGAATGAATGAATCCATACATGAATAAAATCTTTGAAAAATGACTGCTAATAGAGGACACAGGATGAGAAGCTATAGAGAAAAGCAACAGTCAGGATCAGGTAAGATTATTAAAGGAAGAACTCTTGGAGAGTTTAGTGACTTTGGTGAGAAGGGATGAAGAAATGATCAGACCAATATGAAGCTTGATTATTTGCATAGTAGACCTGGTAGAATTTTGAGGTAGTAGAAGCCTAGATTGATAAGGGCATTTTTAAGAACCATATCTAGGCTGAACGGGGGAGAGTGTGACAGTAGACTGGGTGGTGAACATAAAAGTATCAAGTGGTTTGAGATATGGGTGAGATAGAGCAGCAGTTCTGGTCTAAAGGAGAGAGGGGAGGTAGGTGTAAAAGTGCCTTGGATGTAATAGACAGGTAAGACACCAACAAAAATGAACATGAATACAACACACACAAAGCTCTGGCAGTTGTTTTTCCAAATGAAATTTTAAACAGAACCCTAATATGTAAAGCTCATAAAAGAGGAGCCATCTGATGTAACCCACCCACCATAGTGACCCCTCAAGCACCTGCACCAAACACCAGGACTCTGCAACACCATTTGAAAACCTCTCCCAGGGGTTTGCCAACTGTTTCTCTAAAGGACCATATAGTAAATATTTTGGGGTTTGTGGGCCATGCAGTTTTAGTTGCAACTCCAACTGCTCAACTCTGCCATTGTAGCTATAAGGCAGCTCTAGACAAAATCAAGGGACATGGCTGGATTTGGGCTGCTGCCGGCCATTTTGGTTCACTGACTCCTGAAACCCCCCTCAGTTTTTTAAACAAATGAGGTCTCTGTAGCTGAGACTAGAAAGCAAGTTGCTATTAATAGCAGAGCTAGGACTAGAACCCAATCCTCCTGATTATCACCTTGTTCCTTTACCTTTCATTGTGTTGTTAGATAAATATTTCTGATATGTATTATCTGTGTGTGTGTCACATACACATACATACATACCAAACACAGAGAGAAAGAGGGAAGGAGAGAGAAAGAGAAAGAGAGAAAAACAATTACTTCTGCCTAAGGGTCTTTAGTTAAATAGTACCTTTGATCTTAGGTAAGCCATTTCTTTCTCCTAAAGCGGAGGTTCCTTGCAAATCATGTCATTTGGAGAGAAATATGGTATCCTTGCAGCTACTCAATAGTTGCTTCTTACTGTATTTCCAATGAACAACTTGCTACACAAAGGTATTTGCAGCATAAAGTATTTGAGGCCTAGTGTTGTATGTCTTTCTGTGGGAAATTGGCTATATTTGTGTTGCTTTAATTAGATACTAATGTGATCATTAGAGTTACTGAGAGAATGATAGCCATGTCAAGGATGTCTGGAGCAAGTGTTCAAAGTTGAGAGGATTGGAATGTGTATGACTTGGTATTAACTTTTTCTCTAAAAAAGAACAAACAACCCGGAGTACTTTCTATACCATACACTCTACTGAGCACTTAATGCATCATCTCATTTGATCCATATAAAGATACATCATGATTTGTCATGACCAAGATAAAAGTGAAGCACATAATGTCCAAGATAGTAGTTGAGTTAATAGAGCGAATAGGTCGTTGTTCCTTTTTACATGTAGATAAGTTCAAGAAAATGTGGAGAGTATAACTTAGAAGATAGTTCCCTTTGTTGATTGCATCTCTAGGATCTTGCACTGATCATATATATATAAGAGTTGTCTTTTTCTACCCTAACTTACCTAGAGAGTAAGCATTTACTAGGTGATTATGAGCTTATGGGTGAGTTGCACATTTTCTCCTTTTAAGTGACGTGGGAGAACTATGCCATGCACAGTGGTCCCACTACCTCATGGAAAATCATCCCAGTGGCAAATCAAAATGACATATTTTTTGGCCTCCTTTGTGGAATTTATCTGACCCGCATGTCTATCTTCAGCCAACTCAGAGAACTCCCTGGGCCTTTATTGCATTTCCCTTCCAGAGAGTTGGCTCAGTGACTTCTATTGTGGGGGCGCTTTTGCTATGATATTTAGATATTTAGGTTTCCTTTCTCAAGAAATCCACATGGCCCTGGATTGCTTATTTTTCAGTTTTCGGAGCTTGCATTGCAGTAGTTTACCACCAAGGCAAGAACTACTTGCTATCTAGGTTTAATTGCCTTTAAGTATAACTGCTGTAAGCCTTAGTAATTATAGCTAACATTCTCTGCATTAACATTGCTCTGCTCCCTTAGGGTTTTCAGAGCAATTCACAAATAAACTCATTCAGCTTTAAATTGCTCATGAGGATTATAAGACCCAAAAGGTAAAGGATAGAGGATGTTTCCTTCTTTCCAATTATTCAAATCTTGGCATATAGGAAGGCAGAGGCAAAAGTTTTTATTGCTCTAGTCAATGTTGTTATAAATAGTCACAAATCCCAGGGAAGAAAGGTTTAAACTTATTGAGATAAAGAGTATGATGATGTTTTGTTTTATTTCGAGGAAAAGTTCTAATGGATAAAAACATCTAAGCTTTGAATTTACCTCCAGTGGTTTACAAGGCTAGATTGAGGCTTGGAATGAAAGGAAATGTCAAGAAAGTACAACAAAAGTCAAAAAGTTTTTGTTTTCTAGTCACCTAGGCAAGGCATACTACAGGTCTGGTAGGAAAATACAAGGTCGGATTCCTTCCACTTAAAGAAAGATCAGCGATTCTAATTTGAGTAGAGGGGCATTATAAGACAAGGAGGGTTTTCCCACCAGTACATGCTAGTACTGTCTGACTGGAAGTTCTAGCAAGTACTGATTTGGACTCATTAACCATGAAGGTTTCTGCAATGAGGGAGTCAAGTTGCTTCTGCCAACTGGGCCCCAGCTAAGTGGCTGTTGGGCAATGCTGGTAGGGTGCGTAACTTCTTATGTTGCAGTTATCTACCTCGGTAACTTAAGAGCTTGGGAATTTGTTGAAAAGTCAGAATTGGATTCCTGAGTTTCTTTTTGACTAGGTTATCAATAATATCTTTATATTTTAATCTGAAGAATGAAGGTATCCCTAATATCAACTTCCATTAGAAGGATAATGACAGATGTGCCCCACTTGGCAGAATTTCTGCTTTGGAAACAGCTGAGTTGATTTGTTAGCATTGAGGGTACCCCACAAGTATTATGAGAAGCATAATCTGCTTATTTATTAACAAGGTGGGAAGCCTGCATTTTCCCCTGTCTTCTGGGTAATGAGAGTATACATATCTTCTTTAAGAGCTCTGAGATCTTTCTCTATTTTATCTGCATAGAGACAAGCTTTTGCTTGTAAGCTTCAAGGTTACAAAGAACTCACACTCTTATTCCCTACTGCTTTTACATTTGTTTTTGGATATGGCTTATAGGCTTGCAAAGAGGAATAATAATGTTTGACTCATTTAGTTTTACTTTTGCTTCACTAGTTTTAGGCTTTCTGGATCTTTTAAGGTTCCAGAATAAAGTTTGAGAGACTATAGCCCAGGATCTCCAATTCAGGCTCATCAAGTAGCAATCACAAATAACCTAAAGAACTAGCAAGGCAGTACTAGGGAATGTGAAGGCTAAAGACTCTTGAACCATCACACAACACCTTTACTTTTGAGAAGCACAAATTTTCCAGAAGAGCAGTGGTGGGTTATATGGGGTGATTACCAGGACCAAAGACTTCAAAAAAGATAATTCTGACCTTCTTGTACCTTCAGCAGTTGACCACCCTTTTACTCCCACTTGGAGAAGAGACAGCTGCATAAAAGGGGGTGGGCTTCCTTTCCATACCAAAGCAAACCTTTCTTTCTGGAGATCCCCCCCTTTAAAGCATTTGCCTACTGCAATAACCAAAATAAGATAAACCATCCCCAAGAATATTCCATATAAGAAGAGATCTAAACAGAAGGCCAGATTTGGGGGATACATAATTGACCCTGTTGCTTGCTCTTTTTCCTTTCATCTTGCAAATTACCCAACGTGGATTTCTAGCTGAAAAAGAAGCAAGTGTACGTTGACAAGGTGGAGAAGATGCAGCAGGCCCTTGTACAACTCCAGGCAGCATGTGAAAAACGTGAGCAGCTAGAGCACCGTCTCCGGACACGACTAGAGAGGGAACTGGAATCCCTGAGAATTCAGCAGGTATGGAGAACTTAAAGGAAGAAAGGGAAAAAAAAGCAAGAAAATGGTGTTATTTCTGGTTGATTATTTTTCAGTTGGCATTTGACGTGAAAACTGAAAGTATACATTCGCTCATCTTTACATTTTTCTGCCCCACCTAATCTTAACTCCAGAGCATCTCCCAATTGTGAATACAAAGTCTGTTTCCTTAGCTTCCTATCTCAGAAATATCCTTTAAGCCCTATGATCTTGCACCTTTTATTTGTACATGAACTCCAGGAACAGTAGACTTTGTGAGAAGTAGAGCTGCTGTGCAAATACATGCCTCGATATTGTAGAACTAGAAATGGTCTTTAGAAATCACTGGGCCATACCACTCTTCAGTTTTAGATGAATGAAAATCAAGACTAAGAAAATTTTGTAGGAATCATTAATGATAACCACAACAAGGTAGGGGCAAGATAGGAACTAAATCTTAGATTTTTTTTTTTTCTTGAAATGGAGTCTTGCCCTGTTGCCTAGGTTGGAGAACAGTAACATGATCTTGGCTCACTGCAACTTCCACCTTCCAGGTTCAAGCCATTCTCCTGCCTCAGCCTCCTGAGTAGCTGTGATTACAGGCATGCATCACCACACTGGCTAACTTTTTGTATTTTTAGTAGAAATGGGGTTGCACCATGTTGACCAGGCTGGTCTTGAACTCCTGACCTCAGGTGACCTGCCCGCCTTGGCCTCCCAAAGTGCTGGGATTACAGGTGTGAGCCACCGTGCCTGGCCAGATTTTTAAATTCCCATTTATGTTGTGTGCTATGCTGGCAGGCAGGGATAGCAGTTTTCAGCCCATTAATCTACTTTCTGAGTAACATGACAATTTGATATGGCAGGCCCCTTTCCTGGCCAAGGGAATCTCACATTCAAGCCCATGATAGGAAGTCCTGTGGCCTTAGGAGGAGATCTGAATTCCCTTGGCTTCTTTCTGAATCAGAGTCGAAACAAAAGTAGGCTGGGCAGTAATCCTTTCCAAGATTAGGGGCTCAGACACCATGGTTCTTCTCTCACTAACTTGAGGGGTCTCTGCATGTGCCCCTACAGCGTCAGGGCAGCTGTCAGCCCACCAGCGTTTCAGAATACAGCGCCGCTGCGCTGATGGAGCTCCTTCGGGAGAAAGAGGAGAGGATTCTGGCTCTGGAAGCTGATATGACAAAGTGGGAGCAGAAGTATTTGGAGGAGAATGTGATGAGACATTTCGCTCTGGATGCTGCTGCAACTGTGGCTGCTCAGAGGTAAGTAGTTAGCTTGTGGGGCATGAGTGGGAAGAACAGAAAGGTCACTGATGCATAGATTTCTCTAGTGTTTTATTTTCTTTAATATTCTTGCCCTGCCCCCCCGCCACCAACTTCTGCCTAAGTGTGTGTTTTTTTTTTTTTTTTTCATCTGATTATGCAGGGAGTGAACAGCTGTGGAGACAGAGGGTCAGGGATTTGAACATAAAAGTTGCTTCATAAACTTATTAGAATCATAGTTCAGCTTTCCTCAGGGCCAGAATAATTGCAGATGGGATCAGCTGAACATTTGAACCCCTCCTTCCCCAGAGCCACAGATTCTTCCAGCCACATATGCAGGCCGTTTAGCCCCAGGACTGGAGTGAAAGCCCCTGCAGAGAAACTGCCACTCAGAAACTAAATGCCACTCAGTAGTGGCTGCTGTCATTTGATAGCTCTGGCTTGTCCAAGGTATGTCAAAGGCTGTGCTGAACTTGAACCTATCCCTGCCCTTTGGGAAGGTCAGTATTTGAACGCCACATTCTCTGTGTGTATGAGCTCATCACATGTGAACAGTCACATTCCATCTGGTAAGGGAGAGAAAGTGGCGGGAGGATTTTTTTTCCTTCTTATTTGTTCCCCTTTTCAAATTATAAAAGTTAATTATTGGCCTTTGGAGGAAATAGTTGCTCTTACCCCATGTGTCTATCTTGCTGCTGCCCATATCAGCTGGCATAAAAAGAAAGGAAGAAAGATAGAAAAAAAGAAACAATAGAAACTAAATTCAAGTCAGGTGATGACTTGGGTTGTGGCAATAACAGAGCCTTAGTCTGGAATAGGGTATCAAAGGCAGGCAACAGCATATTGCACCCAGATAGGTCTCTATCCAGAAGGTTATTAAAACCACAGTGTTATTTTTAACAATGTCCTAAACATGGTAAACTAGCAGACTCTGGAAGTGCTTGCCAGACTTTGGGTTGGGGTATCTGTGTGGAGGGGGCAGTAGATACATTTATTTTTTAGTCCTTCTCATGCCAAATCAGAGGTAGGGAGGTTTAGTGCTTAATAGCTGAGCTGGTGCTTTATAAGCCCACTCCAGTTCTTTAGAAAAACAGGTCTCTCTGATGTGATCTGCTTGTCTTCAGTTATCATCCATGCTTCAAATGGTTGGAAGCTGCCTGTGGCTTGATTTTGAGGTCCTCATGGGTTTAAGCTTGCTTGGCCTTGTTTCCTAAGCAAGGCATACTCAATACATGCTAGAGTGCACAGAAGCCCAGCTCTGCCAGAAGGTAGTCTTGAAGTTTGTAGGCAGGTTAGAAGCAGAATCCAATGTAATTTTACCTGCTAGCTCCCAAGGAAGCACCTGCATCCGGCGCTTGTTCAGAGGTTATCTAAGAAACTCTGACGCTAAAAAAAACGTTACTATTGAGAGGTATAAAGGTACAAAGTAGTTTCATCACCTTTAGGCAGGAGCTTAGAAACATACAGGTCATGAGAGCATGCAGTGTGAGAAAACACTGGAAAGTTAGGGTTCATGGTGCTGACTTCAGCATAGATTCCAGGTCAAAATAGAGGAGAGCTAGGGGGTTGCCACTGGGGGCCTTGTATAAAGGAACTCCCCTCCTTCCTTCCTCCTTTGAAAGCTTTGTGTATTTCAGTAAACCCCTTTCAGGTGGATTTTCAGAATCTGTTGGCTCCAACAAGGTAGATTTAATTTAAACTGAATTCCTTTCAATCATCGGGTAGAAAGTTTTCATCTGATCACTGGTTTTGGCAAAATTTGCATGCCTATCACCTAATAGGATAAAACACAGCCTGTTCCCACCTAGAAAGAACACATTCTAGTGGTTCCACAGGTGAACATTCCAGAACAGGGCAGTGCGTCTTTCTGGCATGCTACTAATCCAACCCACAGGAGACACTGAGAGAGAGACTGTATTGAAATTTTTGTAAAATAAGTGAATTGGCCTAGGTGATTTCTCCAGACCTTCCTATTTCTAGGATTATATTATTTTTCCAATGATAGTGCTGCTTTTGCTCTACCATGGAGATTGGTTTTCTTTTCCTCTTTCCTTTCAAATAAGATTTTATTTTGGGGAGGTGATATTCAGAAAACTTTGTTTAAAAGTCATGGGTTCTTCTGCCTTTTTTTTTTTCTAACGTTTCTTTCATTCCTTCTGTCTACTTGTTTTCCTCTTCTCTCTGTCAATCTTAAATGTAGCTATTGACCAAGATTCTGCCTTTTGATCCTTTCCATGGTAAAAGTTTTATATTTTCTTTCAAAATAATTTTTAAGTGTCTAGGATATTGGCTACTGTTGGAAAATGCTCAAATGTATTTGAGTAAGGAAGGAAGGAATGAAAGAAGAAAAAGGGAAGGGAGGAGAAAGAAGGATCTGAAAGCAGGAAGGAAACAATTTCTAAATATATAAATTATATCCCTAAATCTGGTGCCACATTTTTAATGATCTGCTTGGTTTCTGTGTATTCTACCAGGATCTCAAACTTAATATATTCCAAACCTAATAGTTCATCGGTAAATGACAGATTTCACAATTAGGACATCTTGCATGGGTGGTATCAATGGTAGTTGGAGAAGACAAATTTTTTCAATTATGATATTGGTTACATATTTAAAAAATCACCTGTTGTAAGTGTATGGTCAGATGAATGTTGGTAATTGTATATAATAGTGTAACTACCACCATAGTTAACATAGAGGACGAGTTCTAAAGTGTTCTTGTGCCCCTTGAATTTGATCACTTTCTCCCATGCTTGACTCCAGGCAATGACTAGTCTGTTATTTTGTCATAAAATTATAATTTTCTTTTCTAAAATGTCATATAAAAGGAATCATATTACATTTACTCTTCTTGTTTGACATATTGCACTCAACACAATGATTTTGAGACCCAACCAAGTTGATGCTGATTAGTGTTCCACGGGGTCGAGGTACCACAGCTTATGTGTGCATATTTGGATAAATGCATATTTGGAATGTTTCCAGTTTTTGGTCATTATGAATAATAAAATATAGATTATAATATAAGAATAGGCAAGTGTCTTTTCTTCAGGTGATAAGTCATATTAGGTGGTCTATTTATACCCCTTCCAACACTTCAATATAATTATGCACCTCTTGGCTGGGTGCGGTGGCTCACGCCCGTAATCGCAGCACTTTGGGAGGCCAAGGTGGGTGGATCACAAGGTCAAGAGATGGAGACCATCCTGACCAACATGGTGAAACCCCATGTATTTTCTCTACTGAAAATACAGAAATTAGCTGGGCGTGGTAGTTCACGCATATAATCCCAGCTACTTGGGAGGCTGAGGCAGGAGAATCGCTTGAACCTGGGAGGGGGAGGTTGCAGTGAGCCGAGATCACATCCCTGCACTCCAGCCTGGTGACAGAGCGAGACTGAGACTCTGTCTCAAAAAAAAAAAAAAGAATAGGCAAGTGTCTTTTCTCAGGTGGTAAGTCATATTTGGTAGTCCATTTATACCCCTTCTAACACTTTGATATTATGATGCACCTCTTGTTAAAGGGAAAGATGATTTCAGACACCATCAGGGTGTGAAAACCTAGGTTTTTGGCCTTAAAAGAGTCCAGGAAGAGGCATTTTGATGCATATGGAAAGTGCTGGCATTGCCCTTTATCCTGAGATGCATCTTAGCCATCAAACACAGCAACTCCTTGAGGTTGGTCAGTTGTATGTTTAGGTGAATTTTACTTGATATTAAGAGGGGGGAGAGAGAGTAAATTGAAGATACTTTGGCATATCTAAAATGAGTATTTGATACTTAAAATATTTATTTTGTTCAAAGGCATAACAGGCAACTTGTTTCTTTTATTTTAGTTAGATAGTTTGCCCAAGATCACACACAGCTACCAAATGGCAGAAGAACTAGGATTTAAATCTATGTTTTGGTCACCTTAGCTGCTATAACTCTGCTGCTTCCTAGAAATGGCGTAGCTCAAAGACAGTAAAGTAGGGATTATTAGCTGTTCAGTCAGAGACTAATTGAGGCTAATTATTTAGTTACTTGGAAATATTATAAATAATCACAATAATATGGCCTCAATTAAGGCTCCATATTATTTTGTCCCTAGGGAGTCCTCTCTAGATGCTTAATATAGATGAGGGGAAATTACTACGGAGTAGGAGTCCCTGTTCATTCGCACAAAAACCAATCTGGCAATGCAGATTTCTAGCTTCAGCTCATAAACAATGAATTTATTTCTGAAGAACAGCAAAAGGATGACAGAATAACACACCCAATCAACCATGTAATTTTTATCAGCTTGCATTTACTGAATTAGGTTGTTGCTTTTCTCAGAATGTGCAATGTTTCATGTTTATTTTGAGCAAAAGTAAATTCTGGCAAGGAGGAAGTAAAGAAAGGAGAAGCAGAAGGTAGAAGCTGTTCACACACATCACGCATGTCTCCCTATTCTCTCTTTGTCGGCATTTCTCAGTTTCCTTCCTCTGCTTTCTTCTCATCCTGCCGTCTGTCTTAGTTATATTGTTCTCTGCTCTAGCCTCTCAGTAATAATAGCAATAACTGTAATAATAACTCTGATGTCTCCAAGATTAAAGTTAGAATTTCCAACAACTTCTTAGACATTGGATATGAAACTCTTAAGTCACCTTCACTCCAGTGTACCTCAAGTCAAAACCCATTCCAGTGCTTTCCAAAAAACCTTCCTCAGTTGCCTTTCACAGCAAACAGCATTTCATCTTTCCTAGGCATTTGAGTTAGAAATAACAAAGTTGTCATTCATTCTTCCATCTCCCTAACTCCCACGTTGATATTGTCTCCAGGTTGGATCAGTTCTACTTCCTGCAGCCTATTTTCATTTCCCTTGCCACTTCGCTGGTGCGTAGTTTCGTAATCTGTTGCTGGGATTATTACAATCACCTTGCCCACTGGTCTGCCTGATTCCAGTGTTTTACCTCTCTTTATCTCTCTCTTTTTTTTTTTTTGAGACGGAGTTTCCCTCTTGTTACCCAGGCTGGAGTGCAATGGCACAATCTCAGCTCACCGCAACCCCCGCCTCCTGGGTTCAGGCAATTCCCCTGCCTCAGCCTCCCGAGTAGCTGGGATTACAGGCACTCGCCACCATGCCCAGCTAATTTTTTGTATTTTTAGTAGAGACGGGGTTTCACCATGTTGACCAGAATGGTCTCAATTTCTTGACCTCGTGATCCACCTGCCTTGGCCTCCCAAAGTGCTGGGACTACAGGTGTGAGCCACCCGCCAGGCCTTACTTCTCTTATCTCTCTGTCACATTTCTACAAGAGATAAGGCCGTCTTCCTAAGGCATGGCTCAGATCATTTTATTCCCTTGGAAAGCTCTAATAATTTTCAGTGCCTATTGGAATTAAGTCCAAACTCACTTCTGTACTAGTTAATTATTTACTTTTTTGTCTTCCCTTGTAAGTTTCCTATAGTCAAGGACTAGTTTTATCCACGTTTCTCCCCTCTCCAGCCTCCGAGGAACTTCAAACACAGTGCTCCACTTACGTAGAGTTCACACATTAAATAAACAAAAGGATGCTGCTGATAGGAAAAGATGGGCTTGAAGTTTGAAAGGCCACTAGCTGTTTTAATTAGGAGGTTATTGGTGACATGCTCGAAAGCAGTCTGAGCAATGTGATGGGATAATTTTGTCAGAGAAAAGAAGGAGAAAGAAGATGACAGACTGTTTACTTAAGAACTTGAGATGGAGGATGTCAAAAATCAGGTATATGCAGTTTGGAGTTTGCAGGTTTTGTTTTCAGACTGCAGCCCAGCATTAGCCCAGTATCTCTCCTGATGTTCTTAAAGATCGTCTTGGAGTATTGGAAGGTACCAGGTCAAGTTGCTCTTTCATACACTGTGCTTGTTTGCTTTTGCCTAAGCCATTGGCCTAGTAGCCCTAGTCTTCTAGAAGGAAGATTGATGCTGAGGGCTGCCCTGGCAGCCCTGTTGGAATTCACTAAGTGCCCCACATTTTCAGGCTCCATTCCTGAGGAGTTCACAGTGTCCATATCAATTAGCTGGCAGGGCTCTGAGTCCCCAAAATGGTCTTTTATGCAATGAAAGTGGCAGCAGGCCAGCACTAGTTCCCCCAGTGACAAACCGTATGCTCAGTTCCCCAGTGTCCGTAGACACCATGCACTTTTCAACAGTCCTGGCTCTAAAGCTCCAACTATCACATTGGAATTCTGCAGTACATGAATTGCTTCCAGGATTTTACCAAGAGCTGGAATTCTTTCAAGTCAGAATCTCTTGCAATCTCTGTATGTTTGTTTCCTTCCATCTATCCACCTATGTGATTCATTTTCTCTCTCTCTCTCTCTCCCACCTCCCTCTTTCCCTCTTTCTCTCTCTTTTCTACCTCCCTCTTTCCTTTTTTCTCTCTTTCTTTTAGAGACAGGGGTCTTGCTGTGTCACCCAGGCTGGAGTGCAGTGGCACAATCATAACTGACTGCAGCCTTGAACTCTTGCACTTAAGCAATCCTTTTGCCTCAGCCTCCCAAGTTATGTGGTCTCTCTTAATAATAGCTTTGTTGAGTGCTTTTATGGTGTCTGACACTGTTTTTACATGCATAATTTTATTTTATCCTCTATAAGATGAAGTTACAATTATTGTTCCCACTTGGCTTATGAAGCAGCATGCTTAGAGCAAGTAACTGACTTTCAGAGGTCATAAAGCTTGTTAGGGGCAGAGATTTCTTAGAGAAGCTAAGACATGCTGAGTTGTCTGTAGTTAGAGCCTGTGCTCTTAAGCAGTATGCTAATGCTGCTTCCTCTTGGGTATTCAGTAGGATTACAAGCAAGTGAATTGCACTAGAGAAAGTATAGAATGCTGAGATGGTAAAATATTTTGAATTTAGCAAATGATGAAAGCCACTGTATTCTTCCCCCTTCTTGTTCTCCAATTATTTCATCATTCCCATAAATGGTTTTAATTTTACATATAAGGTGCAAGTATTTTGGGGAACAGTAATTTTATAGAGGCTCATCAAAATCCCCCAGCCTTAATAGCAACTTTCTGCCTCTTACTCTTGCCAATTCATCCCCATCTGTATTGGTCATAATCTTGAAGCTAAGAGAATGTAGCTGCTAACAGAAAATATGCCTGGAGCTCTTCTGCAGATCCCCATTCTCTTAGGTAGTATAATGAAGCAGTGCCTGTTCATTGTTTTCTCTGCCTATTGTCTGATTTCCTTTAAGACCAATATAATTACATCAGTATTCTCCCTCATCCTAATACCCCCTACACACGCACGCACGCACGCACACACTCACACGTTTTTCCTTAATAACTGGTCTTTGAGTTAATGGCCTGAGACACTTTCAGATGGAACATGATGGTCCTTTATGCAGCTAGAACTCTGGCAAGAGAACAGTCACTTTGTTGGGGTAGACCCATTGATTTGGTGCTAGAATGTTTCAGATGTAGGTTAGATAGGAATCGGGTGGGACTGACTCAAAGGCCCTATTTATTAGCTCACATGCCTTACCCAATCGTAGCTGATGTGTCTGTTGTTTGTTTCTAGTACTCAGGTATATTTACCAATGTTCATCTGTAGCAATAAGCTACTTAGTATACCCTCTGACTTCCTTGAAAGTCTAACCTTTCTCCCTTCATGACTTCCATGAGAACAAAATGGAAATATATATATATTCCTTTTCTTTTTTGAGACAGCTTCTCCCTCTGTCACCTAGGCTAGAGTGCAGTGGCTCGATCTTAGCTCACTACGACCTCCGCCTCCCAGGTTCAGTTGCTTCTCCTGCCTCAGTCTCCCAAGTAGCTGGGATTAGAGGTCTGTGACATCATGCCTGGCTAATTTTTGCATTTTTAGTAGAGACAGGGTTTCTCCATGTTGGCCAGGCTGGTCTTGAACTCCTGACCTCAGGTGAGTCACCTGCCTCAGCCTTCCAAATTGTTGGGATTACAGATGTGAGCCACCACACCTGGCCCAATATATATATGTTCCTATTGCTTGCCCGTGATCTAAAAACTTGAAGGGGTGGCTGGGCGTGGTTGCTTAGACCTGTAATCCCAGCACTTTGGGAGGCTGAGGTGGCAGATCACAAAGTCAGGAGACCAGGACCATCCTGGCTAACACAGTGAAACCCCGTCTCTACTAAAAATGCGAAAAAAAATTAGTTGGGTGTAGTAGCACGCACGTGTAGTCCTAGCTACTTGGTAGGCTGCGGCAGGAGAATTGCTTGAACCCAGGAGGCAGAGGTTGCAGTAAGCTGAGATCATGCCACTGCACTCCAACCTGGGAAACAGAGCAAGACTCCATCTCAAAAAAAAGACTCGAAGGGGTTATGTGCCAGAAGGTTTTGGGATGATATCTGTTCAGTTCTGAAGGCAAGCCTGTGCATAACTCATAGAATTCCTCGCTGACTTTTGCAGCCACTTCTATACTAATAACAACGTCTTCTACCCTGAACATTGAACTGTCCTATTTTGGAGGCTCTTACGAGTTAGTCCCTCAGAAACCATCTATTCCAAATGAGATTGATTTCAGCTTAGGACTTTCCAGAAAAGCCTCCCTTGACTTAGAAGAATGATAACATTCATTGATCTTGCTATGCTGCCATCTCATGACTTCCATTTTCCTCCCCAGGGACACAACAGTCATCAGTCACTCTCCTAACACCAGCTATGACACAGCTCTAGAAGCTCGCATCCAGAAAGAGGAGGAAGAAATCTTGATGGCCAATAAGCGTTGCCTTGACATGGAGGGCAGGTAAAATGTTGTTCTGGATCCTGAGGAATCTGAATCATTGGTATAGAGACCAGATAGGTTCTTTATTCACAACTGGGAAACCTGATCATGCAGCGTCCCCCGCTCCACCATCACCCCTGCAAGCCTGTCACTTAAAGGTGTGAGATGTGATGACCTTTACCTTGATAATCTCCACTAAACATGGAATTCCAGATAGGGTTGCTGTCCCCTTGGCCTTCCTTATTGCTTTTCCTTTGCCCTCTGCCTGAGCTGAATTGTTGGCATTTGCACTATGGGGCATTCTTTCTAGCACTGCACTGGAACCCTGTGATACAGCAGATTGCTTAATAAAAGGGTAAAGGAACATTCACTCAGCCAGACACAACGGCTCATGTCTATAATCCCAGCACTTTGGAAGGCTGAGGCGGGCCAATCACGTGAGGTCAGGAGTTCAAAACCAACCTGGCTGATATGGTGAAACCCTGTCTTTACTAAAAATACAAAAATTAGCCGGGTGTGGTGGCAGGTGCCTGTAGTCCCAGCTACTCAGGAAGCTGAGGCAGGAAAATTGCTTGAACCTGGGAAGTGGAGATTGCAGTGAGTCAAGATCGTACCATTGCACTCCAGCCTGGGTGACAGAGCAAGACTCTGTCTCAAAAAAAAAAAAAAGAACATCTACTCAAGTGGGAGGTAGGACACCTGATTCCTTTTATAAATTCGTGATCACTTATTACCTGAAGGTTGTCGCTCACTCAAAGATCTCATCTTTTCACTGAGTACATTATTTCCATTGACTCAGATTCTTCACTACAGCACCCAGTACATCAGTTCATTCGCTCATATTCAGCCTTTTTTTCCACCAGTACTTTATTGTGACTTACTAGGTTTTAAGCAACAGATCCTGGATGCTCTGCTATATCCATTTGGGTGTGCAGAAAAACATATTTTAAAAACTGTAGCACACCATCGCTTGTCTTCCAACTCAGAACTAACTAGTCAACCTTTAGTCAAAAAGATAATGGGAGATCCATATAGTCATGTAGTCAATTAGACCAAAATACGGAGGTATTAACAAGGTCTTATATGTTCTTTGTCTTTGGCTCCTAGGATTAAGACCCTCCATGCCCAGATTATTGAGAAGGATGCCATGATCAAAGTACTCCAGCAGCGTTCCCGAAAGGAGCCGAGTAAGACAGAGCAGCTGTCGTGCATGAGGCCAGCGAAGTCTCTGATGTCCATTTCCAATGCTGGATCAGGCTTGCTCTCCCACTCATCTACCCTGACTGGCACCCCCATCATGGAAGAAAAGCGAGACGACAAGAGCTGGAAGGGGAGCCTAGGTAATGATTGTAAAAAAAGGAATATTATAGTCACGTGTTCAAAGAGAGCCCTGAGATAAGTGCCCATGCTTAAGGAAAAGGGATGATGGTACAGGTTCTAGAGAGGAAGGGGTACCAGGATTTTGGGGTATTTTTCCTCCTGAGCCTGTAGTTCTACGTTCTGGAGCTCCTCCACACTTTGAGGTCTCATGGTGAGAATGCTGATTGAGGCCAAGCCCTAGAGGACAAGAATGTTGAGTTATGTTTTGGTGTGAAGGAAGATAACTGTGATTTCCTCTAAAACATTCTCAGATTTGGCCTTTGCCATGTGGCACCTTCATCTTTCTCCAAAGCCCATGTGGTGTTTGTGTCATTCAAAATTCCAAAATTCTAGCATGTCCATGTTCCTTCCTCCATAGGAGGAACCCAGGTTTTAGCTACGCTAAATCATTTGGATAGCACGCTTTGTTCCCAGAATGTTCTGAGATAAGAACAGAATGTAATTTTTCATTCCATTCCTGTCCATCCCCTCCCCTCTAATCAAAACCCCAGACATATTTTGGGTACCACGAGGCACATTTTTTTATTTTAGCCCTTTTTGTTGCTTTTAATTCCTTTCTTGGTCCTCTGACACTTGTACTATCTTTTGGTTAGTATAAGCATTTTGGGGACTATGGCCATGGTCAGAACCTTAGATCACACAATTATTACCACACTCAATCTGTGTCGACAGACTTCTCCAAATCCTTTTCTGCTCCTTGGTAATGTGTGGTAATGGTTTATAAGTGGAGCCGAGTTAGGAGCATTCTGACAACTCGGTGGAACCCAATCACCATTGGAAACATAAATCAATACAGATACTCAGGACACTTAAAGGCTTAATACATTGTGCCAGGTGATGGATGGATGAGGACCAGAAGGGATCTTCGAAGTCTGAAAGAAACTTTTAGCCATGGTTAGAGGAGCCTCACACACTGATTTCTGGTTTCACTAGAGATAAAAATAAATAATTGAGACACATGCAAATTTCTTCTGAAATTTGAATGGGAGAGCAGGTAATTCGATGTCTGGATTTGAATCACCTATTATTTTCTAACGTCTGTCCCTCTTTCATTTGTAGGCATTCTCCTGGGTGGAGACTACCGTACTGAATATGTCTCTTCCACACCCTCGCCTGTGCCCCCCTCGACTCCCCTGCTCTCGGCTCACTCCAAGACAGGCAGCCGAGACTGCAGCACCCAAACTGAACGTGGAACGGAATCGAACAAAACCGCGGCTGTTGCTCCCATCTCTGTTCCTGCTCCAGCTGCTGCTGCTGCCACTGCTGCTGCCATCACTGCCACTGCTGCCACCATCACCACCACAATGGTAGCTGCTGCTCCAGTTGCTGCTGCTGCTACTGCTGCTCCAGCTGCTGCTGCTGTTGCTGCTACCCCATCTCCAGCAACTGCTGCTGCTATTGCTGCTGTTTCTCCAGCTGCTGCTGGTCAGATTCCAGCTGCTGCCTCTGTTGCTCCTCCTGCTGCTGCTGTTCCTTCTCTTGCTGCTGCTGCTGTTCAGGTTGCTCCAGCTGCTCCGACTCCGGTTCCAGCTCCGGCTCTGGTTCCGGTTCCAGCTCCAGCAGCGGCTCAGGCTTCTGCTCCTGCTCAGACTCAAGCACCAACTTCAACTCCGGCTGCGGCTCCAACTCCAGCTCCAACTCCAACTCCAGCTGTGGCTCAGGCTGAGGCTCCTGCAAGTCCAGCTACCGGTCCTGGACCACATCGTTTGTCTACACCAAGTTTGACCTGCAATCCTGACAAAACGGGTAATTATTCCCTTTAGCAGGTAGCTTTTGGTTGACTTCTGCTCTCAAATACAGATTTACTTATTGGTGCCTGATATTTGGGCAGAGTTATCACTTAGACTGAGTTTTTCATGTTCTAAAGGAGAGAGAAGAGAGTCCGTAAATGACTTCTCATCCACCAAGATGGGAACAGGCATGAATAGAGGACATTATCTTAGCAAAAGTAAATGAGGGAGGTGGCAGGTAAAATCTCTTTCCCATCAGCTTCATGAGGGCTCTGATGGTGTCTAGTTCTAGAAATAATGGTTTTCTCTTCATCCCTAAGTGTTTTCTAACCCTTATTTCCATTTAGATGGCCCTGTGTTCCACTCCAATACTCTGGAAAGAAAAACTCCCATTCAGATCCTGGGACAAGAGCCTGATGCAGAGATGGTGGAATATCTCATCTAAACGGCCAAATCAAGAGCTGCAGATTATCAGCAAAAATTATTTTAATCATTTTCCCCTTTTATTTGTTCTTATTTTGAGGGTGAGGACAAGGGTTGGGGGGAGGGGACGTTTTTTAATGGGACTTTTTATTGGAACAATGTACTACTTAAGTAATACCATAGGAACGCCAGTCTATTCTGGTATGCTTAGGAAGTACCTCTAAAGACAGATTAATCAGAATGTGCTCTAAAGTTTATTGTTTGGATTTATACAAATACTGGGACTGTTAACAGGTGGCTATACGTTGATGTTTTCAGTGTGCTTGAATTTGTTTAAAATTTCCATATTCTAGGTGATTTTTTATTGAAGAGCCCAGTATGTGTGGAAGACAGTGTGTAACATGTAGTTCGGAAGTGGGAAGCTGGAGAGAATTGAGTTTGTGCTGTTTTGTATAGTTACTATCCTGTACAGCAGCCAGAGAATGCTCTCACCTCAAGCTTACAAAAGGGAGTGGTTTCAGGAGTTATGTAAGCTGGAAAAAGGTAGGGAGTTTTGGGGTGCCGAAGGGTGCTGGAGCTACTTTTTTCTTCCAATTTCCCAGTTACCCTGCCCCAGGGAATTGTGTTTGTCTTCATTTCAGTGGTGCTTTGGAAATGGATTCTTTTGGTTCCCTCCTGGAGGTTCATACATTCATATATATGCTCTGGAGTAATTTATGCATTTGGATAATTAATATATTGCTTTCTGATGCTGGGAGAGTACATTAACTGAGTGATGCACAACTTCCTCTCTCTTAGGGAGTTAGACCATCAGAGGCCATGATGGAGAGTTGCATGAGGTGCATATGCAGACTTTCATGGTCTGTGTGTAGCCATGAACAAAGCTTGCTTGCATTTAGTAAGACCAATCAGCTTAGTGTTTATTTCTTCTACAGCACAGATTTACTGGCTGGGTCTCCAGTCTCAAATTGCCAATCATTTACAAAGTGAGGAAGGATCTTTGTTGACAGGTTGAATGCTTTGAATTTCCAGTGACTACTTTGAAATAACTTGTTTTGTTTGACAGATTGTAAGCATATGTCTTAAAAGGCATTTTTGACTATCACCTCCAAGGGAATAGCATCAGAAACCCAAAGTACTATGCTGCAGTCAGGGGAGAGGTTGATTGCGGCAGTATCCTCAACTACCTCTTCTCGTTGTCGGTGACTCCATCTTGGAATACCTTTGGGAAGCAGCAGGAAATGTGCATGTGGGTAGAGATCAAAGGAGGCAGTGGCTCCAAGCCTTGCCATAGGGCTGCCTCCAAGGACACAGAAGAATGCCAGTTGCCACAGGTCCCTGCCCTGTGTCACCTGTCTGCCCTTCATTAAGGTGACAAACCTGCAGAGAGCATCATTAAGATCAGTTTTAAGGGGTATGGGGAGGGTGAGGGGAGTGGGGGGGTGTGTTAGGTAAGGGTGGGGGGTAGAAGTTTTGAGATGTGTTAGTTAGAAAACAGATTAATAGAAGAGTAGGCTTGATATATTATATCATGAGCCATAGTGGTGGGAAAGAACTTTAGCAATATAGCCCTACCCCCTCATTTTAGTGATGAGGAATCTGAGAACTGGAGAGGTTCAGTGACTTTTTTAAAGTCACACAACAGAGCTAACCATTATGCCAATTACCATGCTTATTTTGAGAAACTCTTGTTTTTTTAAATCCCATTTTATGAAAAGGCATCTTCATGGTCCAGGGAATATGTATCTTATACAATGTCCCTGGATGGAGTAGCTTGTCCAGTCTTGACAAACTACCAAATTTCTGTCTTGCTTCTCCTTCAGTGCCTTTTAAAAGGTTTTCCCTTTTCTGATCTGCATTTCAACATCGAGTCACACAAATGTCCCCCTAAGAAATCAGTCCTACTTCTTTCTAGGAGATTGGGTGTCTTAGATAACCTTTTGTGGTTCCGCTGTGAGTATAGGAATGGTATCTTTCCTAATTATCTTCCAGAGGAATTATTCTGTGTGTGTACGTGTTTGTTTGTAGAGACATAAAGGTGGGTGTTGTGATTTTAAGCTAGTTCTTTCACATTTTCAATGAGGAAATCATTTTACATAGACATTAGTCCTCAGTTATAAAGTGAATCCCAGATAGAAATTAAAAGTGCAGTTGTGTTAAGACTCTTTCATACTACCCTTTAGTCATAAGGAGGAGGAAAAAAACCTCAAATAGTAGAAAGCAGCAAGTACCAGACTTCAGGAGAGCTACTTTCTATCCAAATCAGTAATTTAAAAAATACTTTTCACCTATTCCTTTCATGATTATAACACATTGGCAGACTTTTCGCTGGCTCTGGGAGCCATGAGTTTAATTACATTCTGCAAGGTGACAAATGTCATACATTCCACATTGTGTGGTAGCCATCTCTTTAGACTCATGTGTTTTGGGGAAAGGAAGAAGTTCTTGGCTAAGTACTGTTTTGAACTTTGCAGAAACTATCTGTCCTCTCACACCAGAGATAGTTCCTCTCTGCTCAGTTTCCAATCCCAGGTAATTTGCTAAAATAACATTGTACATTTCAGAGAGAGAAGAAGAGTATGTCAGTATATTACACAGAAGATAGATACAGCCTTTTCAGAAGATCTCCATCAGTTCTTCCAAAAATTCAACTTTATGGGTGAAATCTCAATTAGCCACCTTTTCACAGTTGTATAGATGTCACATTTGGGGGATCTTTCTGGACTCCTACCTATCTGTGCATTTTGCTGGCACCTCAGGAAAGGAGGGTGACCACGCTGACTGAGCTTGTACTGCCTGGTGGTCTCTGGGGACCTTCTAATTCAGTTGTTCCCCAATTTTCCATGTATAGAAAAACTTCATTAGAACAATCTTTACTTGATATGAAACTCCTATTAATAATCTTTTTCGAAATAAATTTAGCTTGAGCTTTCTTTTAAAATCATGTATCTTGATTGTTGATTTAATGAAGGATTTCCTTTTAATGCTGCTTTTGAGCTTCAGGGTAATAGGACAGCAGGAACCTAAAATATCTGCCATCATCTGCCATAGGAAAGATATTCAGAGACCCATCATGTTCACTTTTTGTTGTTACACTGTTGGGTGGGTATAACAATTAGAAAATCAACAAACTGATTGTGCAAACTACTTTTTATGACACGCTTAAACCTTCATAATGCGGCAGCTTAAAGTGTATACATATGCACTAACTTTGATCAATATTTGTTAGCCACACAATCTCTTTATTATCTCAATTGCTTAATTGCATATGGAATATGTTACTTAAAATGTGTGCATTCTTACTGAAAATGTTTTCAAAGGAGGGCATCAGTTGTGGGCTAATTGCCATCAATTTCAGCCTGCCACGATTCTTGGAAATATATCTTCCAACAAGTGTTACAAGTGTTGGGAGTTTATTTTTTCCAGGAGCAATGATGGGTTACATGGAGCCATGAAACCTCCTTCTGGCCTCCCTTGTGATTAATGGCATGTGTTTGTAAAATGGATAGCTGGGGGTGGCAGATGGCTAGAGAAGAATCGCCTGTGGTTTAAAATGTATGTGGTCCCCTAATGATTGTGACCCCATTCTGTAATCAACTGAGCTAGTTCCAATAAAATTAAGCAGGTTTAAATCCACTTTGTGCCTATCTTTTCACTGACAATAAAGTTAGCTATTTTAAAATGCAGTACTGTGTGGAAAATGCTTTGGTGTTTACCCGACAGAGGCTTTATTTGTGCTGTATCAGTGATTACTTTCAATTCAGTATGCAGTGAAATTGCCTTTCAAGGGCAGCGTGCAGCAGAATTTGCATTTGCTTGAAGTATGGAATGTGATTATAGATTATAAAGTATTAAGACAACACCACAGGCCACATGCTGTAATCGGTCTCTTTATATACTCAGGCAGCATATATTAAAAGCTTTGCATCTTTTTATCTCTTGGTTCCTAGGGATAAAATGATGGCCACCCAAAGCAGAGAATTCATCCTTTGGTTAGCATTTTGGAAGGTCCCTTGATAGTCCTTTTGTACCCTTTTTCTGATGCCAATTCATCAGTTTTGGTTGAGGGAGCTTGTTATTAAAAACAAATCAAAACCACAAATAAGTTGTTTCTTCACTGAAAATGTTAAGGCTGCCTTAACACTGCCCTTCCTGTGCCTCCTGTTTACCAGTAAGTTCCAAACCTGACTGGTGAGGCAAGGATCCCCAAGGACGTTGAAATGACATTTTCACAGTGAAATAGACTTGGGTGTCGCAAAAGGGATGGGGCAGGGGGTATAGAATTCATTCAACTGTAAATTTGTTATTTTCTTAAAGTTGGACTTGATTCCCTCCATATTTATGATAAGTACTTTGAAAACTGTATAGATAAAAGCCCTCCCTCTTTTTCAGGACAAAGAAGATAAGGTATTAAGTTAATGAGACCTTCTTACAAAGCTTTGCAAAGTATTATTTTCAGAAATGTATTGTGCCCATTTCTTAAGGAGCAGTCACTTGTTGGGAGAAAAAGCAAATGTTCCTTCAAAAATGTGTTAGATTGCATTGTAGGAGCATTTCTTGATATTATCATTATCCAGTTATATAACTGGTCTGGCATCTGCATGATACTTCCTCTCCCTGTGTGCATTTCCTATTGAGATAAGTGATCTGCACAGCCTATATGAGTTACACGGTGGCAGAAAAAAAAGGCCTGCTTCCCACCTCCATCTTACTCTGCAGGAAGGTTTTTATTGGAGAAAAAGAAATGTAAATAGTTTGGTCTTAGATCACTTTCTACATTGACTGGCAGTTGCCCTGTATTTTGGTGAAGAACCCTGTGTTATGGGACTTAGTTTCCAGGAAGAAAATTGTTCTCCACAGTACCAAATTTTATACCACATGACAACTGGTCTCTCTTTAGATGCACCGACTAACCAACCCTATGGTATGTATTTTGGTCTCCGTGTTTTTTTATTTTCGAGTAGCCTCTACCAATGGATTCAGGCACATGTGAGTTGTTAAAAAACGACTTACTAGATGGTGCCATTATGTATATGGCCCTAGAATACAAAATTTTAAAATAGTCCATGATACTAGTTTATTACATAAAACTACACACACAGACACATTTATAATTCATTGTGGTATGTGAAATCACAAAGGTTTAAACAAGAATGCAGACCTAATGCAAAGATGGGAATGATTGTTGGGATGGCACAGGGAGAAGGGAGTAGAGAGGAACTAAACTGAGCTTTGAATTATATGTAGATGTTTACTAGGTGAACCAGGGGATAGGGATGAACATTCCATGCAGAAGGAATAGCATGTGCAAGGACAGTCTCACTTTGTCAGACCCGCAATCAAATCCAGACTCCATTTCCAAGACCGAAGTCCCTAGAGAACTGCTCTGAATTTTAACAACCTACTAATGGAAACACAAACTCACTCAATCAGGTGGTAGAATAGACTAGTCTAGAAGTCAAGAGAACATGAAGTTTCAGTCTTACATCTGCCACGAAACAGATACTTACTTGTGGACAAGTTCCTTAACAGGATCAAAGACGTTTATCAGTAAAATGGGGATAAATACTTGTCCCCGTGAACCTTGTGGAAAGAGATAGAAGAGGCTAACAAAGTAAGAATATAAAAAGATGCCAGTCATAACAAAGGGCTGAATCTATAAAGACGAAGTGGCTTTTCTTTAACTTTTCATTAAAGAAAAAATTCAAGCATATGCAAAAACCAGATAGCTAGGGCACCTCCATTTACCCGTCTCTAGGTTTCAACAATTAAATATACATGGCTGATCTTGCTTCATTTATCACCCCCACCCACCCTATATTATTTTGGAGCATATCCCAGACATCATAGCATTTCATCCATAAATATTTCAGCATGTGTAATGATAACATTTCTAATAATGAAAAAGTCAAGTGTTACATCTGGAACCAAAGTATGTAACACATCAAGCAAAAAAAATGACAGCATGTTTGTGCTTTGCCACTTACAAAGCTTCTTCCTTTGATCCCACAACTCCTGCTTTAAACTGAAACATAGTCTCAAAAACAGAGGGGTTCCTACTCCCACAACCCACATATCAAAGGGCAGGATTTTTTTTAAAGACTCCCCAGTGTAGGTTTCAAGCCATTATTTCTCCTTGACTCATATAAAAAGCTCTGGCTCTTTTAATGTCCCTGTCATCCAATTGTTCCTTGTTTACCCTCATCTACTCAGTTGGTCACTACTCCAAGTGCACTGATGGTTTTGGCCCTTGGACCACAGTTGCCTCTCTAGCCCCAAACAACCAAGACAGCATCTTGGCCCATCAGCTTCTTGGCCTCTCTACCTTCACTGACCTCCAACATCCATTTCACCCCAGCTCACTGTACCCATGGCCAACCCAGAGCTGGTCATCAATCAACACTACTCCACTGCGGACATGTCCACCAGTACCCCGATCTCTGACCACAGTCTCCCATCCTCTCAGTTTGCCTGCTCTGACTCTATGTACCTTTTCACTTCAAAGAGACCTCAAATCCCTCAATGCCTCCATTTCCTCCCAAACTTTTAGCTCTTATCCATCTATTCTTGGCCTCAAACTCAATCACTTGAACCTGCAATCAACTGATACTCTCCCATAACCTCAGTCATTCATCACAAAATCAGAAACTCATGAGCCATCCTTGACATCTCCCTCTCTCTGATAAGGTAACGTCCAATCTATTACTGATTCTATTGCAATAAATCCGAAAACCTCATTCACTTTGTTCTAACTCTACTGCCAATAACCTCTTCTAAGCCACCATTATCCTTCACCTAGGCTATTTTAGTAGCCTATTAACTGATATGCCATGCTGAATCTTTTTTTGTTTGTTTGTTTGTTTGTTTTTGAGATGAGAGTTTCTCTCTTGTTGCCCAGGCTAGAGTGCAATGGTGCAATCTTGGCTCACTGCAACCTTGCCCTCCCAGGTTCAAGTGATTCTCCTGCTTCAGCCTTCCAAGTAGCGGCTTACAAGCACTTGCCACCATGTCCAACTAATTTTTGTGTTTTTAATAGAGATGAGGTTTCACCATGTTCGCCAGGCTGGTCTGGAACTCCTGACCTCAAGTGATCCACCCGCCTCAGCCTCACAAAGTACTGGGATTACAGGCGTGACCCACAGTGCCCAGCCTGCCATGCTCAATCTTGTTCCACTGTTTTTACTCCAGTCACTAGTCAGCAATAAATGTAATTAATATCGTGTCATTTCCCTGCTTACAATCTTTCAAAAGTTTCCAATGGCAATGTGAATAAAATGATGCCACAAGAGGTAAAAGAAGTAACCCAAAGTTTTATAATTAGTGAATTTGGAACTAGGATGCACATGTCTTGAACTATTATTCTATCTGAATCATTATCATGCACTGTAATGAATATATTTTTTTCTTTATGCACAAAGTATACTACCGACATGACATCATTATTTTCTCTGATATTAACCTAGAGCAACTATTTTTCAAGTGTGCTCCAAACCATTTGAAATTACCTTCCAGGCAAATTCCCTGGCCTTGCTTCCAGAGACACTTAACCTGTAGTTGTAGAGTAACACCAAGGAATTTGCATTTTAACAAGCTTCCCAAGAGATTTTTTAAAAAAATTATGATAGGCACACAATAATTGTACATATTTATGGGGTACAATGTGATGTTTCAATGCACGTACAAATAGTATAATCAAATCAGGAATATTAACATATCCATCATCTTAACGATTTGTAATTTCTTTGAAATGAGAAGATTCAGAAACCTCTCTTCCAGCTATTTTGAAATATACAATATATTGTTAATTCCAGTCATCCTACTATGCAATAGAGCACCAGAACCTATTCCCTCTAACTATACAGCTTTATATCTGTTGACTAATCTTTTATTATCTCTCCTTTCCCTTGCCTTCCCCATCCTCTGGTAACCACTGTTCTATTCTATACTTCTATGAGGACAACTTTTAAGGTTTCACATGTGAGTGAGATCATGCGGTTTTTCTCTTTCTGTGCCTGGCTTGTTTCATGTTGACAGGATATACTCAAGACTCATTCACGTAGCTGAAAATGACGGGATTCTTTTCTTTTTTACAGCTGAAGAGTATTCCATTTAGCACATATATATGCAAAATGGAATACTATTCATATGTGCAAAATGGAATACTATTCAGCTGTAAAAAAGAAGAGAATCTAAGTATTCATCAACAGATGAATGGATAAAGAAAATGTGTATGTGTATACATATATGACACTTTCAGTGTAATTAATATTGTGTCATTCGCCTGCTTACAATCTTTCAAAAGCTTCCAATGGCAATGTGAATAAAATGGTACCACAAGAGGTAAAACAACTAACCCAAAGTTTTATAATTAGTGAATTTGGAACTAGGATGTACATATCTTGAGCTCGAATATTTTTTACAGCTGAATAGTATTCCATTTTGCACATATATATGTGTATACTTTCACTGCCATATATGTATACACACACACATTTTCTTTATCCATTCATCTGTTGATGAACACTTAGATTGATTCCATATCTTTGCTATTGTGAATAGTGCTGCAATGATGCTGATTTCATTTCCTTTGGATATGTACCCAGTAGTGGAATTGCTGGATCTTTGCAGCTCCTTCTGAAAGTACATACTTTGAGAAATACTGGCCAAGGATTTCCTGGCATTTATC